GGTGGGGTCTTACCATTGTTTTGTAAAGAGGCTAAATTATATGTGGATCACATGAATTAAAACACATTTTTTATGGGAGCGAGACCTTGGACCACCGGAGGAATCAAGCGACTGGGCAGAAATTTGGGAAGCAACGAACTCCCTGACAGTATGCGTTACCCACAAAGAACAAGCATACAAAACGTTATTCGGCTGGTACCTGACACTGCTCAGACTCCACAAAATGGGCAGAAAACCCAACAACCTATGCTGGAGACTGTGCGGTGGAACGGGTTCCTACCTACACTGCTGGTGGAACTACCCCAAAATTAAGCCACTCTGGACGGAAATGTGCGGCCTCATAGAACAGATTCTCAACAAACCCATTACTGCGCACCCATGGACGATGCTACTCAACAAACCGCTGGACTCCCTCACCAGGAGCAAAAATACAAACTAGCGGCCAGGATAACGCTGGCAACCCGAAGGGCAATCGCGGAGCGCTGGGCAGACCACCGAATTCCCACAATCTCGACTATTATCAACAAGATCAAAGAAACTTGCGACCTGGACGAATTAACCGCACAGATACACGACTCATTTAACGCGTTCCACCGAACCTGGGACCCCTGGGACATGAACAACCCGAAATTGGCCTCAACCGCACAGACCTAAACACCCCATCTGAACGCCACACCTACCTGAGCCATTATCTTGACCAGAACCACAAGGTAAGAAGGGCGCACACACCAGAACCACTCACAGACGTGCCCCACACCCAACAACCCTCTCTCCCCCTAGCCCTACAAAAGCCACCAGCCCAACAACCCGCCCCCTTCCAACGGGGACCTGGCAGGCGCGGGCGGACGGCAGGGGGGGAGGGGGGACCACCCACATCCCCCTCCACCCTTACCCTCACATGACACCGGATAAGGAAGAATGCCCGGACAGGGAGGGGACGAGACAGGAATCACCCTTACGCTAGACCCCTGACCCTAACCCACAGAAAAATACCACCCCGAGGGTTGACACTGACCGAAAGGATGCACAACGGCCAAGACAAACACTGGCCTAGATATAGAGCATCAGGACAGCAGGACCCCGACAATGTGCAGCCTCACTGCACAAACAGTATGACTGACATGGCCACAGTTCACACCTCCGCGGCCTGAAACCACAACCTGATGCGATACACCAAAAACAGCGACAGCACTCGCCCCCGGGGAATCCTGGCCCCAGCTCCTAACCCCCGACCAAGCAGCCGAAACTCGGCAAATGCAAGGAGTGCATATGCAGAGAGAACACACACCACTTCACACCACCACGACCCGCCCATCCCAACAGAGCCACCATCTCTCAAACCCCCTATACCCCCCGGCCCCACACGCCAACACCTGGTCACAGCACACAGCTCCCCGCCCACAAGACCACTCTATAGCACAGTCCAAACCCAAGTGGCCTCCTCACGCATCGAGAGGCCAGCAGCTTACCACTTAGGAAAAATCCAGGGCCCATCTGGCAACCAGGCAAGCTAGCACCAAAAGACACGGGCTCACACAATTGGAACTGGATGGTCAGTACAAACACAGAACCACAGCAGAATGAAAACAGTATAGTACCCGGAACCCCTCCCTCCCTCTCTCTCATGCAAACCCCCACCCCAACTTACCAAGAACACACTCGCGACAAGTTTGGCAAACTGAACATTGGGCAATTACAGGCGAAATGAAAAAGTTTGCTAAACGCTCACTAAAAGAAGATCTGTATCAACAACTGACAACCCATCCCCCCCCCTTCTTCTCTTCTGTACCCCCTCCCCCCCAAAAAAAGAAATTAAATATAATGTAATGGAAAATGTTAAAAACAAAGAATTTATTTTAAAAAAAACAACACATTTTTTATACACGAAAGCACCTTACTAGCTTTTGGAACGGCAGACCAGCATTGCATACTGTTACGTAGTTTGTGATCTATAATTGTTCCCAAGTCCTTTTCATTTAATGGTTTTCCTAACTCTACCCCATTTAATGTATAAGTAGGTGGCTTGTGGGTTCCTTTTTCCAAAATACATGACTTTGCATAAATCTGTATTGAATCTTAACTGCCACTTGTCTGTCCAGTCCCCCAATATATTCAAATCCCTCTGTAGAGAAGTTACATCATATTAATATTGTATTATCGTACCTAGTTTTATGCCCACTTCAATATCATATATAAATGGATTAAACAGAAGTGAAAACCCAAGAGAGAGCCCTGAGATACTCCACTTACCACTTTTGCTCAGTTTGAAAATTTCCCATTCACAACTACTTTCTATCTTTAAGCCAGTGTCTTCACATAACATTACATATCATGAATCAAGCAAACCAGGAGGAGATATCAATTATTAAAGGGACACTATAGTCACCAGAGCAACTACAGCTTATTGCATTTGTTCTGGTGAGTAGAATCATTACCTTCAGGCTTTGTCCTGTAAACACTGCTTGTTTCAGAGAAAATGCAGTGTTTACATTACAGCCTAGTGATAACTTCACTGGCCATACCTCAGATAGCTGTTAGAGATCCTTCTTGGGTCATGGCTGCCTAAAATAAATCCAAACATTCAGTGTCTCCTCCCTCTGCTCTGCATTCAATTCATCTCTATGAGGAGATGCTGATTGGCCAGGGCTGTGTTTGAATTGTGCTGGCTCTGTCCCAATCTGCC